GTTTTGGTCCATTCCACCTAGTTAGTCCTTTTGCCAGTTACCTTATCAATGTGGTCCTGATGTGCCCACTAGACTGTAAGTAAGAAGGGGCCATGTCTTTAGCTGTATTCCTCTCTATTCTCCCACAGGCCCTGTTAAAGTGGGAGGGAAATTATCACGAAAATGCAGAAGAAAGAATTTAGAATTGTTTTCGTTAAGTGTGATCCTGCCTATGAACCTACAAAGGGTCTGGACTGGAGCACAAGGAAGTGGCGGAACCCACTCGGAAGGGCTTAGCCACCACGCATAGCAGACAGAACGGGATGATTTTTCTCAGATTCCCTTCTAGGCTTTTCAAGATGAAATAGCAGCGCTAAAAAAAACACACACACAACAACAATAAAAACAGAATCAGCCAGTCAGGGCCACTCTTCTTAGTCATGCTGAATTGTTAAGCTTAAGAACATTTGAAAACCCGTGTTTGTCTTGATCCTTAACAAAAGGTTTCCCGGCGTAAGGAAGCCATGCAGCATTAAACTTCAAGGTTTGGAAAACTTTGATAAATATCACCTAGCAACGGCATTATTTCAAAGAAAGTAGATGGCCCTCTATAAACAAACGTTGACCTAAACTAAGCAAGACATCTCGGTTGACATAATAACACGACTTTGCTGTCAAAACAAGCTTTCTGTCCATTTTTGATAAAGGATCGCACCAACTTCTCTCCCCACTTGAACTCTTTTGCCTCTGTAAGATCTTACATTTACTGGAAAGAAGTAGTAGGAAGGTCCTGGGTAGATAAGAACTCTCCCTATATTACTTTGTTCTGTAAAACAGAACAAAAATAGGTCAGTTCTCAAGGAAATGATGGCTGCATATATAAATAATGCAAACACTCCTTTCCCGGTCCCATGGAAGATGCTCATCACACAGACAGCTACAGACACCCAGATCTGGCCAACAAATTATTTCTGTTCTTGCCGTCCCGCAACTGCTCACCCTACAGCCCTCAAATTTTAAATTGTCAATTGGAAACTTGATTATTATCAGTTAAAAATAACCAGGGAACTCTGGCAATGATTTAACTTGTTTGACTTTCTTAAGCTAACAATTAACATTTTAGACTATTGTTGACAAAATATTGAACTTTCCCATGCCATGTGTGCAAACTGCTTTTCTAATACTGCTGACACACTCCAGCGGAGACACCTTTCAAAACTGCTCCGGTCCACGCAGGAGCCTGTAAAAGGCCCTAAACACTTTTACACCGCGGCACATTTTAACGAGGATTTCTTGGGACCTTCGGGAACACTGAAGTACACGGATAGCTCAGTCTTATCTTGACAGCACTGCATTTGAAATACCAATCCCTCTATTTACAATAAAAGCTATTTCACCATTTAAAACAGACAACTGAAAGCTTAAGTACACTTTTAATCCCTGGCAAAACCGGTATGAGGATTCATTGTTTAGCAGTTTATTATTAGTAATACTAGTAATAATGCCTTGCATTTCTGCGGTGCTTAATTTTTTTTTCTCCTAAAGCCTATTCAGAAACACATTCATTTGCTTTCTCAACAAGCCAGGGCAGCATTATTGTTCTGTTTCTACGGACGACTGCTAAGTAACTTGTCCCAGGTCACCCCAGCTGGTTCGTGATCAAGCAGGCACGGACCCGGGGATGCAGACTCCTCGTCTGATCTGCTTCTTTCCCTCCACACTACATTAGGGAAAAGATAATCTCTGAAGCCAAAGATGACTTGGAACCACTTATCTATCCATCCTAGCAACACAGTCGAAGCAACAGAAAAAGAGCTTGTCTCAGGCAAAAGGGAAAGATTAATAATGCACCACGGAAGCTCTAAACCTTTCTGGTCCATGGACCAGCAATTATTCAGTTTCACAGTTCATTCAAAGATTCAAACATACTTCACCAGAAAATGATTTAGTGCCTAAAGCCTGCTCCAAGTGGTTGGAAATGCAGATCTGCTTAAAGCCCTCTGAAAGGCCCTGTTCCTGCAGTCTCTGCAGTAATGGGGCTTCCCCTGAACTTGGACTTGAGCTAAATGAAGAAACTGGCTGACTAAGGGCTGCAGAATTAGGCTCTCAAAGTGGACGGAATTAGAACTGGCTTAGAGGTTATTCTTGCGTTGTTCACGCAACTTCGGCTATTGGAAATCTCAGACATGATAAATTTCTTGCAGTACAGCACCTCTCAAAGTCAACATTCTCCCACAGAACAGAAGTTCTCCTCTCACCCTCATTCAGATATTTCTGACGCTACACAAGGCATTGTACTAGCAGGTATGCAGGACACAGTTTCCATCCGAGGACACAGTCAGTGCAGATGCTATTTTAGATGATCGATAGTCTCTCCCCTTCTCCAAAGGACATTTATGGCCACTTACGGAATACGAATTAACTATTAAAGGGATACCTTCAACACACCTGGACAGAAATAAATCTGGTTACGGACACATTATTCCAAAAGAATTCTGACACTCCTTCTGTGCAGAGGCCCCCTTCAGTGAATGGTGTTTCTGAAAATAAGGGGAGCCCGAGCAAAGTGAGACCTGTAGATCTAGTGGGCTCAGTGAATCACCACTCCTGAATGCCCAGGCCTCCCTTCGGACACAATGTTATCAGGTCAATACAGTACTTGCATCACCATCTCTCAGTACCATGCTGAGTAACAAAGCGCCAAATTTAGAAACTAAAATGGAGAAGGGAATTTCCAATAACCGGAAGAGGGGTGCTGGGTCAACCCTGGCCATGGCACACGTTTGCAATGGAAAGCCACCATTAGCAATAACTTGCACATTGTCCTCCCAACTCTCACTGCATCGCTCGTCATCACTGCACTCAGGGAGGCAGCTCCTCTAAAGGGAGGTTTCAGGGGATGACTGGTAACTCGGAGAGAGAAAACAGACCCCTCCTAGACCAGGAGTGGTCTTGTAGCCACCTCTGACTTCTGCAGCTGTGAGTCTCCAGTCGGGAAAGGCCAGGCGCCGCGCTCGCCCTTCCTCCCAGAGTGGATACAGCCACCGTAAAGTTACAATAACCACTGCAGTCGGTTTCATTTCACATCCCCAAACCCCCAAGAAGAGGAGGCAGCCTCGTCTTCCTTCCAAATTTGACAAAGGCAAAAACCACAAGAACGAGGCCATAAGCAGACACCTTCCTGGCAGAGGCTGGGATGTGATGGCTACGTCTGCTCTTGGCACCCAGGACAGAGATCAGTCTTCTCCTCTGAGAAGGGCTGGGCGCCTGGTTCCCTGTATCATCCCCAGAAACACTTACCAGGAGACGGCGGAGTACACAAAGCCGTATTATTGGGAGACTTGCAGACAGATTATAAATTGACTGGGGACAATCAAGGCATTTAGACACTTTTGGCTGCAGATGCCAGTGACACACACGCACATACAAACCTCATTCTTCTCTCCATTCGAGTGATTCTTTTCCAGCCCCTCCCCCCTTCACCTCAGCATCTCTGTTTCAGGAAACAAACTCCCCTTGCTGTCCTAGGGAATTCCAGGGAGAGGTGGGGATAGAGCAGGTGGGAGGGAAAGGAAATCAGGCCTTGAAGCGCTGATAGAACCCCACAGGCTAACTGTATCCAAGCATAAAACAGCAAACACTGTTTAACTGTTAGTTATTTTTCATCTGGAGTTGGCGCCAGGAAGCTGCAGTTCTAGGCATCCCAAGCCAAATGTGTGTGTGGTGGGACAGAGGAAGATCAGTCTAGCCCCTGGAGTTTCTGGAGCCTTCACCACCACAGACCCAGGCCAGAGATAAGGAGGAGCCGCCAAGCAGCATCCATGTGGGCCTGGCTGGAGGACGGCCTCTCCCTACGGCTCCTTCTCCAGCTCCCTCGGAGGCTTCTGGAGGCCGTTTAGGCTTGCCTGGCCGTTTCCTGTGGCTGATTTTCATCAGGGCTTGCTTGGGCAAACTGGAGCGGCGCTGTCAGCAGACACAGGACTTCCGAAGCCCCGCAGAACTCAGAAATTGGAGGAAGCTTCCAGGGCTGCAGGGCAGGGCTCCACCTTCTACACAGAGGCCACGGCCACAGCCCAGCAGCTTGGCGGGGGTTGTGGGGGAAGAAGCCAGCGCACGGCAGGCAGTCACCTGACCAGGACTGGCCCCAAGAACCAATGATTCGAGGGCTGCTCCCTCTGGGATGGGGTGTGTCCATGCCTCTGAGGAAGAACTTCCAGCCAGAAACTTAATCACAACTTTCAGGTCTGAGGTCCTGTCACCAGGAGTGGCTGAAGACAAGGTACTTTCTAGGATGACAGCATGGAAATAGCCCCCTTGCGCCCGCCCACTTTAAAGCATGTTGTAAGTCAGCACTGCCTGATCATAGCGCCTGAGAAAAGCAGCTGGACTGGGGCACTGGGGGAGTCCAGAGGAAATCAGGGCCTCTTAAAAACATGCCCTCTCCAGGCTTTGGGGCAGTTCCCCCAAATTTGGTTTTTGAGTGAGGGGACCCTCAGGGAACTTCGTCTGTTAGATTACCATTTACGTTCTCTTCACCCAAGGACAAGGGGCCACTTCAAAGAGGGGAGAGAAAATGGGACAATAAGGAAAAAGCCTGGATAAAGGGCAGCTGGACTGCTCAGTGCTTTCAGGCTCAGCACAGCTTGCTGGGCCTACTCAGTGCTGGCCAGCCAACGCAGGAGGCTCCTTGAGACAAGGCCTTCCTCAGGGGCTCAGATCTTGCCGCTTGTAGCCAACCCTTCTACAAGCTGTGGGCCCCAGGGAGCCTCTGGAAAACGCAGTTTCTGACCACTTAAGGAATACTCTTCAAGGCAAGGGAAACTCATGAATGAGCACCCGCAGAACTTGACGAGAAAGAGCAGAACACTGCACAAATGACACACCCAATGGCTTCTGAGGTCATCAGGTGGCATCTTGGCCCTTTTCACTGCCGTCCACCCTACATCAGGCCGAGGAAAGCTCCACCCTCACCAAAGGCCACATGACCACAGCCAGAATCAAGAGAAAACCAGGTGCCTTACCGCGATCAGGGCTGAGTTCCTCTGGTCCCCGGGGGTCGAAGCCGGTGGCTGCTGCTCCCCTTCGATCCCACTGATCCCACTGCTGCCACCATTATTGCTGCTGTCCAGCAGGTGCTGCTGGTGGTGATGGTGGTAGTCTGGCGGGGGCGGCGGGGCCGCTTGCGTGGCCGCTTGGGAGGCTGTAGGAGGTGCGGCAGGTGGTGGTGGAGGGGCTGTCGTCGTGGTGGCCGCGGTGGCAGTGGCCTTGGCGTGTTTGCCGGCCTTCCTCGCCCCCTGGCCGTGCTGTACAAGGCTCAGGAGCTGCAAGGTGCTCTCTCTTTCCCGATCTGAGCTCTCAGCCCTACCACGTTCATAGCGTCCTTCACAGCTCAGGTGGTGCTGGCGGCAAACGGCGATTCGAGCCCGAAGGCGCTCCACAATGGCACTGTGCACTCTCGGGGTGACGGAGCCCCCTCCAAGGAGCCCCGCCCCAGGGGCGCCCCCTAACCCTCCGGTGGGGGCCTGCGGGGGCGCTGTGTCCCCCATCTTACTGGACACAATGATTGCTGCCTCTGGGATGGTGAAGTGGAAGGAGGCTATTGCTGGTTACTGCAGGCAAGTCTGCTTTTGACAATGTGCGCTCAGTGTTCAGGGCCACATGAACAGAGGTCTTCAGAGGTTGAGGGGGGAGTCGTGGAGAAGGTATGGGGGAAGGGAATTAGTGAAAAAGAGGGTGCGGAGAAAGAACAGAAACCAATTGCAGAGGATAAGTTGGAAACAAACCCCAATCAACTTACTCTAATTGCATTTGACAGCTCTGGAGAAGTTGGACAGAGTTAGTGGGGTTTTTTTCTCCCCCAGCAAGCTGACAAGAGCCACTAGGTACTTCGTAAATACACGATCTGTGGGTTAGAGCAAGAATTCAGGGATTGTCAAGGGAGAGAGAGAAACAGACAGCAACAGGAATTGAGAGAGAGGGTAATGGAGAGCTGGACTCCCCCTCACGTAGTTGTTTCTGAAGATTCTTTATGGGGATGTTTCTGCAAAGAAACACATTTCCACCATGCTCGATGGAACCCCCAGCCTTTACTTTTCCTCAGGTTTAAAAAAAAAAAAAGTGCTGTTTCAGAAGCTTTTTTGAAGTCAATGTTCAAAACGTACAAAAATCCAGAGAGACTGTCTTTTGGTTTTTAATTTTTCCTCCCTTTCCCTTTGCTCCGGTGTTTTCTCGGGGGGGGGGGGTGCTGTAGGATGTCTTCTCTCCAAAGAGGGAGACAGCTTTTCAATTGTTAATGTCAGTAACTGGACTTTTGGACCATGCTTTTTTCTTCAGCTAATCCAATCACCGGTAAAAGCCTCATTCCCTGTAAGGTTTCCCAGCTTTAAATGCAAGCAGTCTGAAGTCACTAGCCACTGAGAGAGAGCCTTCAACACATTTTTCTTTTTCTTTCCCTCTTACGTTTCTATTCCTCACCCCCGGCTCTATTCTAATACAGTATCAAGAGAGACAAACTCTTCCGAGAGTAATTTACAAACGATGGTCAAACTTACAAACTTCCAGCAAATTGCACCGAGTCATGTCCAGCCACTTTTCTGTCCACTTTTGTACATTCCATCCCCGGCCAGTGGATCTGAGGGTCTGGACTCGCTATAAGCAATGTGGTTCTATCTCTTGGATGGCTCCGCGTTAGAGATGGAAAAGAAAGTAGCTTGTCTTTTCCTTTCTCTTTCCCGTCTGTTGTTCGCCGCTTTGCTGACACTGGCTCCGCTGCCCGGAGTCACGGCGCTTCACAGGCTTTCATTGTGCTCCGATAGGAGAGGGAGAGAAAGAGAGTGAGACAGAGGGAGAAAGAGAGAGCCAGCGAGCTGCAGAGCGGGTGGGGGGGCCGGGGGGCGGGGGGAGAGCTCGCCGAGGCTCCCTGGTGGAAGGCGGGTGCCACTGCACGGGCGAGCGGCCGCGGCCGGCGCCGGGGAAAGGGGAACGCAGAGGGCCTCCCAGCGGCTGAAGAGGTGAATCCCAAAGCCTGCGCGTCTCGGCGGCGCGCGCAGCTCGGCCTCCTACTTGGCTCCGCGGGGAAGGCTGGGGAAATTCCCCAGCCTCTACCCGACTACTTCACCGGCTCGAAATGTTTCAGAAATTCCCGGCCAGGGAATGTATTTTCCCTCCCAGACCTCCGTTACGCCCCCCTGAGGATGTCGTTTTCATTTTTCAGTCAGTTGTCAACGACACCCCTGAGCACCCTAGTGAGAGCTGGGTGAGCACTGGGAGATGCTCATTAGTGTCACAGGGAGACGTAGGGTGTGTGCGTGCTGGGGGCGGGGGGAGGGGGGAGAGAAGAGGCAATCACATCATTAGCTGCTAAAGGGACAGCAGGTGTCTCTACCTGCCTGCCTGTTTTGTATGTCTCTGGCTAAGTCAATCTGGATGATCACAAGCAAAGCAGTAGGAATAAATACAGTATTTTGCTAAGATGAAATTGCCAATACCAGTTCTGGAAAAGAAAAAAAAAGATTTCTTTGAAAAGGCAAGGCTGCGTATGACAAGCTAAATGCAAGATCTGAGGTCTGCACAGCTGTCTGGTTTACATGTATAATGAGGAAAATGATTATGTAGTAGTCGAGAAGTTTAATAACACAAACCAAATAGATCTGACACAGATGGTTGTCCCCTCATCTTCAGATAACCTCTGCCTTTAAGATCTCAAGATGTATACTGGAGTCAGCTTATTATTATCAATTACGGAGAATCAATTAAAGTGAGCACAATACTGGTAAAGTCAGTGTAACATAACACATCTGACTCCGTATTAGATCTGTTCCTTTGGCTTTAACCCTGTGCCCTGTTTCCTAGGCTTAGCCTTGCTAGCTCTGTACCTTTTGTAAAAGAATATTACCTTTAGCCTGAAATATACAGGAGAGCCTATTCTCCAGGCTCCGACCACTAAGGATAGCAACACTTTCGCACTTACATAAAGACAACAAGTTGCAGAATAGAAAATAATGTTTGTTTTGTTACAGGTTTTACAGGGGCACCATGACCTGATCCACGGGAACAGCTGCAAGATCAAGGAATTCCTACAGCAAGAAGTTTGCAACAACCAACAACACCCCATCCCTTTTTTAGTATAAAAGAAGCCTTAATTCTGACTTGGGGAAGATGGACTCTGCCATCTTCTGAGCCAAATAAAGTCGCTATTCCTTGCCCCAATACCTCGTCTCCCAATTTATTGGCCTGTTGTGTGGTGGGCAGAATGAGCTTAGACTCGGTAACATCAGGACCGTAAGTATTCTGTGTATCCTAACGTGGAAGTCACTTGGATTTCAGTTCTCAAGCTACGGGACTTTGTTAATTTAAACCAACTCTGGCATTTCAGTAACACCATCCTGCTTCAAACTGAGCTGTGGACAGAAGTGAATGGGTAAAATCAATGCAAACATTTTAAGACTGGCTTAATCTATAATTTAATTCTCGATAGGCTGGCCTATATCGGTCCATTTTATTTTCACAAATCCTGGAATGTCAGTTTGAAGTTGGGGACAAGTGCACTCTAATGGAATATAACTGTTTTACTTTTCATTAGAACACACTTCTGGCTGTCCCTTCCAAGGCTAAGTTCCTCTCTGCTCATAAAGAAAGGCAGAAATTTATCTTTGTTATGTACACAACTTTGAATGGAGAACTCTCTAGTGAGGTGTCATTTAAACGTGGAGTTTTGCTCATTATAAAATGATCAAATATAAATGGGATTTTTTAAGTTTATTCATTAAGCATTATCTTATATTGGTGCTTTATATTCAGCAGTCATACTTGATAAAAGAGAAAAAATTAATATTTAAATTTAAAACTTACTGTTCACACTAATAGTCCTGTAGTAGCATGGGTTTTGATTAATAACAAAGTCCTTAGTCAAAATCTGCTGTTCCCAAATGACGTAAAGTCAGATACCTATGCTAGATAGGGACACACCAAGCAAGAAGTTAATACATTGTCATGCTATATTCTAGTTGTGTAGGACACGCCTCTACAGTTTTTGTACGCATTCACCCTTTACAGCCGTTTAATTTCAAGCTGACATCATTATCATCCACATCCTCATTTCTACTCACATCAGTTACTATTACTCACAGTCACTGTTTCAGGAACAGCACTTCACATGTATTTCCCTTAATGCACAAACAATCCTGAAGGATAGGTATTATTAATCTCATTTATAAGTGAGGAACCTGAGGCTCACGGAAATTAAACCATTTGTTCCAGTTCATGTAACTAGGAAGTAACAGATCAGGACTCGAACTCAAGGCTGATTTCAAAGCTATGCTCTCTTAACCACTGGGTTTGCTGCCTCAGTATCAAGTGTGAAAAGAGTTACAGGGAAGCCAGACTATCCCCAAAATAGCTCAAGGGCTGCAATTACACCTCAATCAACATGCTGGCGTCTAAGCAAGTCCCATAATGCCTCCAAGAAATGAGTAGTGAATAGAACTACTCATCTGAATATGAGAGCAGACAAGTGAGAAAATATGGTCAATTACATCCAGCTACCAATAAAATAAACATTTCTTTTTTCCTTGTCTTTCCCTTTTTATGGAACTGTGCACTCTTATAACCCTAAAGCTTCTGCATACCCCTATGATTTTTTTCAAGCATTTATTCCTTATTTGTCTATTTGTCTTCCTCATCATCCCTACTATTCACAGCTAACACAGAGCATTTAACACTCCAGTAATAAATGCCATCTAAAAAGTGCGTAGACATATGAGATTTATAAGTTTACAAACCATTTTTTGCATTATATAGCATCAATATTGATGATGATAAAATAATACAGTATGTCGTGATACCTGTGAAAGTTAATTCTGCTTTTTCAACATTTCTATTTCCTTCTAGACTTCTTGCTTTTGGCCCCGTGATCCACGCAAATTCTCATTCCCCAACAGCCTGTCTCTTTGCCACTCTTTCGGTGTTATAATGTACATAAAAGCCTCTTGTGCTCTCCAAACACCCACTGAAGAGGCTTGTTCGGTTGCAGTGACCTCAGACATCAGCAGAACTAGCGATTAGCATCTTCTGATCAACGGTCAGAACGCTGTTCTAACAGGAAAGATGCTTCAAACCAGCAAGATACCTGACCTAGGAACTGGGTCAGCTGCCATTGTAGGTCCCTAAAATCATCAGTACCTTCATTTTTACAAATTAAATGCATGCTGTGAAAAGAACAGATAAATTAATTTTTGAAACTCTCCAGCTGGAATTCTCAACTCTTCAGCTGTCTCAAGCTCGTCTGTAGTGTCACATACCATCGCTTCGTCCTCAGCTTTCAATCGTGGCTTCACAGGGTTAAGGATGATTTCCATATGCCCGCGAAATAATAATACTACAGATATGTGACTGAAATTTCTATTTCACACTTAAAAAAAAAAAAAGGTATGCACTCCTCACAGGAAACAGCACAAGTGTGCTCACAACTTTGTAAGCTTCTCCTACCTGTTCTGTTTACAATCATCATGGCGTAATTCTGGAAAATGAATTGCAAAAAATATTCAGTATTCTCTAGGTAAGGACTTAATAAAATGTAGTTTTTAATGTAGGCACTACATACATACTGAAGTCCATGCCATGAACCCCATAATAGGGGATGCCAGGTTCAACCAAAACTTCAAGTAAGAAACAAGTACCTAAAATTCCACTGGAAAATAGATACCACTAGAACACCATTTTTAAAAATTAAAGATACAGAATAGACAAGGTTCATTGGATCACTCCAAAACCATTTTACTTTATTATGTTATGGGAAAATTTAGAGGTACAAAGCAATGCAGATGCCAAAATACGCTTTTAAACTATTTTTGGCTGAATTTGTCTCTTTGAGATCTTCTAATCCTAACAAATACTTCTATGGGAAAAGTTCTGGATAAAAATAAATAAAATACATCTTAATTATTAACACAGACAAAATTGGATAGAAAAAAGAAAGAACATTATGAAGCATGAAAATACATGTCATGAAATTATTCCTGAATGTGAGGGTTGGAAGACTCTGCAGGCCTGAAATCTATTTGTAAGGGGAACTTCAGAAAAGAAAAAACAAAAACAAAAAACACTCCTCTACTTCGAATGGGTAAACTAACAGTTTGATTCTGAGGCAAGGGAACTGAACTGAATGAAACACTGAGGTTTCTTCCATGTCCCACTGATTTAGATAATGATAGTAGTAAAAAATATATTCGTGAAGATCATTTAATACTGCAAAAGGGTAATAAACAGCTCTGGGCAGGGATGCAGCAGTAAATACACAGAGATGTTAGTCTAAATACATTTAAATACAGTGTTTTTCTACTAAACTGACAGGACATAAACAGCTTATTCACTTGATAGTCATCTGTTATAAAGGCATTGTTATATAACTTTAAAATACACTTAATTAAAAATTATTAAGCTTATGTTTCCTATGTACAGCAGATAAAAGCTTTATTAAATGGTAGAGTGCCGTCTCATGGAAATTCCGATGAACACATGTTTCACACAAGATATTTTGCCATGAAGATACACATAAAATATACAAATATGTCACATGATACAGAGAAATAAGACTCATGATCTTCACATTTACAGGAATTTATAAAATCTTCTCGGAAGGAAATGTGTTACAATTCAGTCAAACTTCTCATCTTGAAAGTAATCCGCAAAATTGAGATATTCTTGAAGTTGACCATATTTCTGTGTATACAATAAAAAAGCTAGTTATTTTACTCAAAGCAATGAAGATAAACTAGGCCTTTTCAATCTACTGACACAAAAAGGAACAAGTTTATCTCATGGAAATTGTGAACAAAAATCTTTTTATTATAAACAGGGACTCAAAACTTCAAATAAGCATTTCTAATTCAGATAAAGCATTGGAAAGAGATCAAAAATGAACATTAACTTCATAACTTTCTTATAAATTGTAATTTTTCTATTATGTTTATAGTAGAAGTATAACAACTTCAATAATTTATTCAACAAAAATTTGTTGAACACACATCACATCGCAAATATTCTACTAATGACTGTCTAGGTACCAAAAATAATTGCTTTCCCTGCCCCTACGGAGAACAGAGTTCAGCAGTGACAACCAATTACAAGTGCCAAAAGGAAGTATAGACACTGCCATGAGGATTCAGAGGAGAGGTTATGGTTAGCTGAGGTGGCCAGGGAAGAGTGGCCTTTAAGCTGTCCTGGGGACAAAGGTTTGCAGGCAAAGATTTGGTGGAGAGCTTTCTCTAGGAGATGAAGGCCCACACAACAACAACAAGACAGGGAAGTACGGGGTTTGACTGTGGTCTGAGGCTCTCTAGGGGAGCAGAGAGAGAAGACTGAGCCAAAGACGCTGTGGTCAGAGAATTAAAAGCATGAAAAGCTAGGTTCCAGGGTTCAGCAACAATGTGACAGGCAATGGGAAGCCGCCAAAGGTCTTATTAGGGCAGGAGAGTGACATGATCTGAGGGGTATTAAAAAAAAAAAAGAGGTAAACATCCATTCCAGACTGGTATGGTGACTAGTTATGAGTCTACCGTAATAATTTAGGTCATGAGGGCCTGAATTTGAGTGACAGCAATGAAGATGGAGAGGACAGAGCAGAGCAGGACAGGAGAAGAGAGGAGGCAGGATGATTTGGAGATTTCAAGGCTGACAGAGTGCGAGGTGCTTCCTTCAGGTGAGGAGAGGGACTGGCTTCTACTCCCAGTGGGATGAGAGGGGGTCCTGACAGCTCTGACTTCCGTGGCGACAGGGACTTAGGGAAGGGTATGTGAAGAGTGTGTTTTCTTTCTAGAAAGGGGCCATGAAACCTTTCCTTCCACCAAAGACCTCTGACTAGACCGCCTTGTCTGGAAAGAATGAAGAAAGGAACAGGAGGGGAGATAACCTGTGGACGACTCAAGGGTTCTGTGGGCCAAGTGCTCCAGCTTCTACCAGATGTGAGTAAAGTACCTCAGGCTTAGAAACCTATACCTTAAAAGTTTGACCGTTTTTGTGCTTTTTATGTTAACTTTCTTTATATTCTTTTTTTTTATTGAATTTCTTATGGAAAATTACAATCTAGCCCAGCTACACAAAGAAAAGGAAGGAAGATGCCTCCTTGTTTTTATTACTAACAGCAGCTGATGTGAACTGGCCACTTTCTAATTGCTAGGCCCTATACAAAATGCCTAAAATGTGTCAGTAATTTAATCTCCTCAGTCAAAACCCTAATTATTACTATTGTGTTAGTTCCTGTTTTACCAAAGAGAAAACTTAGGCTTAGAGAAATAAAGTAACTTGCCGCCAAATTCTACCACCAGAAAGTATTTAAATCCGTGTTTTTAACCGTTATAAGCCATTTCTGAGTTTGAAAGGGTGGGAGTGGGTGTGGCCTTAGCGTATAAAAAGAAAAACTAAACTAAAGGTAAAGCGAAACTCAGAGAGAAGGCAGGCAGTAATACCTGCCCATCCTCTCCACCTTAAGTTTCTGCTTCAATCATTCTTCTTCACTAAAAATGTGTAGAGTTTGGATATTATGTCAACCCCTTGGCCTGGCAGCTGGACCTAGTGATGAAAACAGCTGGAGATGTAGGAATGGAGTGTGAGAAAGAGGTCAGATCATACAAGAGTTTGGAGTCTTCTACTGAGAAGCAGCAGTTAGACCTGAAGAAAGGATGGGTTTGCCAAAGGAGGGAGCTGAGAGAGGCTCAGGACCAAATCTAGCACAACAGGTACTTCTAAGCAGTGGTCCTCAATCTACAATTTGCTTCAGAATCACCCAGTTTGTTAAATATCAGGTGATTTAACACCCCCAAGGATTCTCATTCAAAAGGTCTGCAGTGAGGCCAGGGATTGTTCATTTTTCACAAGCATCTAGGTGATTCTGACATAGGTCGTTTAGGACCATGTTTTGAAAAATAACAGTTTAAGGGGTGGAACAAAAGGAAAATGGGAAAAAAATGTTTGAAGCAGGGGAAAGAGAACAAGTGAGGAGCGTTTTAGGAGGGGGCAGGATATCCAACTATAATTTAAAATTCTTATTTATATAACAATTTTTGTGTAATAAATTTAAAATTTACTTTAAATACAACTGTAAAACTGAAACTTGCTTCTATTGACACCCACCCCATCCCCCAAACTCCTGTCTGCGACTGCCCTGGAAACCCCATCAGCACATGCACTGCCTTCTTAAAGGAAAAGCATTTGTCAGAATTTTGCCGGTGGCACACGGTAGTGTGTTCTTCAGCTCTAATTTAGCATGTGACATATATTCCTGTTACATTTATTATATATGTTGGTTTTATTATAATTTTCTTATCATTTATTCTTTTCTTACACTTGAATTGCTCCTACCCTGAGTTTAAAACCAGATCTCCTTGTTCAGCTGTTGAGAGGAAGAAGAAGAATGAAGTCAGTCTAGTTGGCAGGTCTTTGGGAAGAAATGCTGAGGTACCCTGAGATAACGGAGGAAAAAGGCTTGGAGGAAGAGGAGGCAGGTTAGGGAAAAAGCAAGGTGTGAAACAAAAGCCCGAGGAGGAGAGACAGAACAAATAGCCTGTGTAAGGTGAAGGAAGGGGTTCACATAATAACTGGGAGCTAAGAACAGAAAGAGCCAAGGATATGGCCACTCAAGCCTCGCTGAGCCCAGGCCTTGGAAAGGGCCAGAGTAACTGCGGCCAAGAGGAAGGCTCGCGTCACAGGAACAACGCAGCGTGTGGCTCAGAGACACACACCCCAGGGGGGTGGGCAGAGTGATGCTGGGAGCATCAGAGCACTTGAGAGATTCTGAAATGTAATCACAGCACAAAAAGCTGCCTATGGGTTTATACTGGCTATAAACTTCTGTAGTTTCTAGGAAATCTTTTGAGAACGTCTACAGACAAGTATTTTTAACGTAGAAGGGATCTCAAAAAGACAATGAAGCTCTTCGGTATTTTATGTGAAAAAAAAAAAGGACTTATTGCCCTAAACGTGCACCATCCTGAAATACCTCAATGCCCAATGCTAAGTGTTATTCTTTAAGCATAATATGACACTCAGCTTTCTTAAGAGTATTTTTCTTATTCCAGGTCACTTCTATTGTCACAAACCTTGTTAAGCTTTCTCTAGGGTACTTAATTTGGAAAGGCTTTTACTTTTTTCTGAAGGAAGTTTAATGTTCTTCTCCCGTATATAATATTGTTATATAATATATATAGTACAAGCACAGTGATTTTGCTACACCTAGTACATAATTTTTTTTAAAATGTGGTGTCCCGGTAGGTCTTTCAACTCCACTGGAGGGTTGGCAACACTTAAATGCAATAAAAGCACTTAAGAATGTCATGTCATCGAGGAAAATGAAGACGGGACGTACTGGGTAAGTGATGGCTCTTCCCCAAGGCAAATGAAAAAGCACAGAGGAAGGAAAGGGAGGAAGGATTGGGAGTGAGAGAAGTAGAAGCAAAGCAAAAGGCAAAAAGCTGAAGAGAGTAAAATGAGGGCAAGACGACTTAGGAGTCAAGATGTGGGGAGCAGGCAAGGCGATCCCTGGGTGGTGGTTTGTGGTGGGAGGATAACTGTCAAAGGGGAACCCCGTCTTGGTGTCCCTGTCCCACCAGGGGACCTCTGGGGAGCACATGAGGTCCTAAGAAGTTCCTGTTTCCTTGTTCTCGTTTTCTTTCCCTTCACCCCTAAGTTTACTCTCTGAGCTCTCTTCTGTTTTTATTTTCCTCTTTTACAAATTTCCTATGATATAAATAACCCAGGCAATAGATCTCAAGTCAGGCTTTTTTTTTAAAGATTAAATATACTGTTGATCTGAGTTGCCTGAAAATCTAGTGTCTGTTCTCTCTTATACATTCATGTAACTAGACTTGTTTTAGAAGCTTGCAGTCATATTAGCATTCTTCCCATGTACCATAACAATTCTAAAAGCTCTGTGAGCAGACCAGAGCTTCTGAGCTGCCAGCAGATCTTCGGGAATCCAGTGCACTCTTCAAAACCCCCACTTTATCCCTGACATCAAATTTAGTGATCAACAGGATATGGGGGAATCAAAATCAGTGCCGTGGCCTGAAACCTCTGCATTCCCCTTGATCTTCAGTTACAGTGCTCGCTGCTCAGTCCCATGTCCTCAAGAAGAGGATGTGGGTGGTATTAGACTGGCAGCCGAGATCCTTTCCTCAGATTGGCACCAGGTGCTTCTTCACTCTCAGGTCACAAGAACTGTTCTAAAGATAGGAAGCAGACAAGCAGAGGTGAGTCCTGTACTTTGTCAAAGAAAATAAGGGGACAATATATATGTCAGGAAAACCACACATATAAAAGTGAAAGGACAAAGGTCCTTCATTAAAGGACAGTATTCTTGCTGATTAAAATTTATCCCAGGAGCAGAGTGAATGCTTAGACTATCAGGGCACCTACTCGGGGCAGGACAATGATAAGCATGAAAGGAATGGGTGGAAGAAGAGAAAATACAAAGACAGGGAGAGAAGGAGAGGTTCTCTCTTAAATTGCACTGTTTTCTACTCTAATCATTTGTATCCTTTTGCTGATCAAAATCAGGCTCCAGAATCTATTGAATGAAATGGGTCTCCCATATTCACCTTACCTCCTCAATCCAGCCACTTTCCTTTGACTGATTGAAAATTCTTTCCACTGTTTCTTTAACTTGTTCATCCTCCACTTCTTCTGTCTTTGCAATGGAGCAACATTCCTGGTACAGCTTGAATTTAAAATGTTTCAGTTTATGATAAATTCTGGTACGATCAGCACAAATTCTGCCCACAGTAAACACCTAAACCAAGAAACAAACATCATCTGATATATGAAGTGAATATATAGTAATGAGTGTACAGCCTTTCTGTTTTTTTTTAAAGTAGAATCTAAAAAATTCATTACTTTAAAAAAATTTACATGATGAGTTCTTTATCTTCTCTTATTTACACAATTCAACTTAACAAAAACTGAGCACCTGCTATGTTTCAAGTATTGGGCTAAGCACTGGAAATATATAAGTGAAAGATGTACCACCTGTATTCAGGGAATTTACAGTCCTGGGGGAAAAGCAAATGATTACAAAACAATGTGCCAAATGCTATGCACGAGAAGCAGTCAAGGTACAGAGAAGGGACAATTAACTCAATCTAAAAAGGAGGAGGGTCTTCAATTATGTGATGCTGCAACAAAGTCTTTAGAAAACAGTTAACCAAGTTTGGGAAGGAGAAGAAAAATGGCTTGTAAGGCAAAAGGATGGGCACACCCGAAATCAAGAGAAACATGCAAGCTATTGTGTGTATACACAGGGCCCTGAGGTAAAAACGCCTGGGTTATTTATGATCATTTTCTAGCTTACAAGCAACATGCAAACTGAAACAAACTCTCATACCAACACGAAATACTGGTAGTTTTTAACTAAATATTCTTTCCCAAAAATATTCTGCGAAGTAAAAAAAATACTTGTGTTTAACCATATTTGTTTCCTTAATGAGTCTGATGTGATTATAACACATTAATATTTTATTGTTAGAAAATTACAGAAAGTTTGATTTTTATGTTTATATGGACTTCTAGGAGTCTATGATTAAGAATACTCTTCTTGTGTAATCAACTGTTCTCTTCCAGAATGTTCTGAATGTATACTTTGTTATATACACACCTATAGCTAAATCAGGAAAGCAGTGTCACTGTATTGACCAAATTATATACAAATGTACCTACATTATTTCACTCATTGTAGAAAATGCATCAGAAAGGGGCTCCGAACAGTATAACATGATCACTCTTATTCTCATGGAGTAACCTGAGGACACAGATGAACTTCTTGCTAACTTACATATTTGTCTCTGTGTCTACATGCAGAATGGGTTATGCTCTCATGAAGTCAGTACAAGTGATAGTCACACTATTGACCAATGTAACTTGTATTCTATCTGGAAAAAAACTGCACTGTTTTTCTGAAGCCACACTGTAAGGGATCACACAGGAGATGAGTTCAATAAATAGCACAAGAATACACTGGCAAAAACAAAAGTTAAATACGATGATCAGCAACAGTCAGGTTTGATGCACCGTCTTGTGAAGATGGTATTTGGGATTTCTTAACAATCTTTCTTAAAATCTCTAAAAGCTGAAGAAAAGCATGCTCAGATTTCTGTTCATGCTCTGTGAAAACCTTTATGTTTTTTCAGATCATCCGACATAGTCAGGTATTACTGTACCTTGCTTACTTTAAGTATCTTTCTCGCTGCGACATTATCATCAAACCAGACATATCAATTACAGTTCACCTGCCAAAACTGCCCACTTTGAGTAAAAAGATACCACACAGTTGCAGTGGGCACTAGGGATTCCCTGTGTCTCTCCTTTTCTGCCATCAAAACAGATTAAGTCTTCCATGGCTGTTTTGGATAAAATACAGTAGGACAATCATGCCTTTTTTTTTTATTTGTATCACACTGCATTCTATATTTCCACAAAACAAGAGGAATTTATCTGTATAGAATTCTTAAACCGGGAAAAGAGGGAAGGAGAGGTGTTTTAAAATCCATATGTTTTTTTCCTGGATGAAACAAAAATATCCATTGAAAATAATAATCATGACAATGTACTTCTTTCCAGTTCTAATTCCTACCCTCTTGGCATCTACTTACACTTACGTAGGTCAATAAACCCAAAACTACCTTTAGAATATTCTCACACTATTTTTCTGAAAATGTGATCACATTTTATATGGAAGAGCCTAAACCTGTTAGTAAGGCTTCAGAGAAAACAGGAAATGTATATAGTAGCTGTAATACTGCAAGTGGACCTCTCCTCTCCCCCTACCCACTTTGGTGTATTGTCATAGCCCACTCTACCGTATGAAGTACATACAGTGCATATCACACAGCACAGCGGACACTGTAGGATTCCATTTATGTGAAGTACTAAAATAAGTGAAATTAATCTATGCTGTTAGAACAGTGTCCTTAAATGTCCAGAAATGTATTCAGAGAGTGCTTTTAATTAATTAATTGCATTTCTGGACACTATTCGAACAAGATAGACAGTATTAAAAAAAATTGCCTGAGAGAGAGAGAGAAATGATAAGTTCTTTGATGATTATCTCAAAGCAGATAAGCAAAGTGATATAGAAATGATTACTAACCCACCGTGCAGGGTTAGCACAGTTCTATGAACTGATAAACCTGAGAGTAACTGAGTCATCTCAAGTATCAGTGTGAACTATGTGATCCTACATATCCAAAGATATAATTGGAAACCAAGCTAAAAACTCTCACCAAATTCTCCTAGAGCAGAAGATGGTGAATTGCAAAGCAATAGAAGTAATCTGATTTGTAATTTATTAGATACAGCTTGTGAAAATTAAATTAGCCCTGCTTAGCAAACTAAGGCAATGAAATATAACACAACATGCATTATGCACATTTGCAACATCCAGCTAACTGTAGGTTAGCGTTTTGAGGTATTCCTCTAGGCCCTCATTTATATACAGAGGAGCAGCCAGCTCCTTAAGGAAAATGAAGTATAGAGAAAAAAGTAAAACGATTCTCAAGTAAAGAGGAAGGATGGGAAGAAATTGGGTTTTCCGTCCCTCGGTCTCTAGAAACATTTAGTGCAATAGGCTGAGTCAATGGTTTCTGTTTCCTCTTGGTCTTTTTCTTGCATGGACACATTACACACAGCCACTTGCCTCAAAATTACTGCCTGTTCCTGTTGGATCTTAAGCATCTTGGAGAGTCTGGACAGACCCTGGGCAAACCTGAAAAACTGACTGCTGTCAGCCCTCCTAACTGCCTCTCAGATTGCACATCGCTTTGCTCCACGTGACTTTCTTCTCATCTATGCCCTCAGACTTCATCACAACCTGGTGGCCCTAGGCCTCTCATCTCAGTACCCTACCCAAGACGGCTGTAACTAAACTTACAGTCATCTCTCAGTATCCCTGGGGATTGTCCTCGGACCCTCCCTGATACCAAAATCTGCAGATGCTCAAGTCCTAGTCTGGCCTCCATATCTATGGAATCCTCTCCAAGGATTCCACCAAGTGCAGATGTAAACACAGTTAACCCTTGAACAACACAAGTTTGAACTGCGCCGGTCCACTTTAGATGTGGATTTTTTTTTCAGTCAGTCATCCGTATCGGCGGATGTGGAATCCACGGAGGGCCACCTGTGGGACTTGAGCATCTGTGGATTTTGGTGTCTGCAGTGGGCCCTGGAACCAATACCCCGTGGTTACCAAGGGACAGCTGCCTGGGTTGGCTGAATCTGCAGATGAGGTAACTGCCCTCCCCCCACAATGTGAAGAGCCAACTATGTAATTATTTAAAGAAATCTGCATATGAGTGGACCTGGGCAGTTCAAACCCCTGTGGTTCAAGTACTCTCTCCCACTAATTCCACTTTCCATTAAAGCATCTTTTAAAGAAGCTTATCTTAGGTAAGGAAGGACAAAAGTTCCATCATTAAAAAGTTCACTAGGGTCGTTCTTTTAAAGTATTATTTTCACCTTAGAAGAGAAACCTAGTTAACCCCCAAGGAATCTCAATTTTTACGTAACTACAGCAGCAACACAAAATGGAGAATTAATTTTCAAAATAACCTGAGGGTGGATGTGGGGTGGTCACGATCTCTTTAATGCCTTGGATTAAAAACAGGTTTGTTGTTTTCTCTCTTCCTTTTCTTTGTCCTTTCCCTTCCCCCTTTCCTTTCCATACACGCACTGACATTGTGGTTCAGTGCGATATAAAATAGATTTTAATAAGTGATTCTTCCCTTTAAGGAAAAATTCCTGAAAAATATTAAATATTAATATTAAAGAATTTCATCCACACTATCTTAATATACACAATAGCGAGTTGAATGTTTGAGTGCAGCTATACATACACACACACACATTTGTACAGACGTGTGGACGGTACATATCCCTCTGATTTCACTTTCACCTAGCATGATTTCATGCGATTCATACATATTATTTCAGTGGTTGTATCATATTCTGTCACAAATGGTGGTACATATAGCTAATTAGATCACTACTCTAATTTTTTTGAATTATTTCCAATTTTTGTGTTATAACAATGCTTCAATGAACTTCATGATTATGTCATTTGTTTTCATTTAACTACTTTGCCTAGGACAAATGAACAGGCATTGAACATGGATAGCATTGTAAATCTGGCTATACAGAATTTATACAATAGCAATCTAGGATTCTAAAAAGATATGTCACATCCTTTCTTTCTCTAGGAAGAATCTTACTGTCCATGAAACTGCTAGTTTCAAGGCAACCTTGACAGAACTGCAGTTTATCATTTGACTTAAAAATGCTGCGCTACTTTAAGAGCTATCAGCTGGCATCTTAAGGTATTAACTGTATGCCATTAAATGGAGACTAGTGATTTGTTAATATATTTGTTAACTTTTATGTTCTGCCATTGTGTGACTGGTGTATTCATGTTCTTTGCTTTTATTTATGAGCTCTCTCTTAATTTTTTGGATATTTGAATTAATTATTTTATACAGAATCTTTATTCCTTCACAGGAATGTCAGAATTCCAGAAACGGTTTCCCAGCTCACTTCCCTCTCCGGGGTTAGCTGTGGACAGCAAAAAGAATAGATGTATGGCAATATTCCTGATCTACACAACAGCACATCATCCTTAAAGTAGTAAGTCACTTTTATTAGGATTCTAGGTATCTTATTTAAAAAATCATAGGTCAGTTTGTAAACAGTGGGGAAGTTTGCATATGACTATGTTGAGAAAAGAAATGTGTTTTCATAGTAACTTGCCAAATAAAACACCGAAGACTAATTCTGAATTCATTATCCCCATAAGAATTTTCTACGTGATTGTTGCAACCCAGATTGTTCGATGGGATCTGCTTAGTTATTGCCCAGGAGAACTGAGGAACTTCAACTATCCAACCTAGTGGAATTCAGATAAATAGTATATTTCTATCTTAATAATAGACTGGCAATATTTAGATGCAACTTCGCTTCTCTAACTAGCCCCCCAAACTCATACCCCCTTTATGGGTAAAGACTCACCAGAGGAAGCTCAATATTTCTATTTTTGCATTTATAAAGGCAATACTTTTATAAAGATTAAAAAATAAACAGAAGTAGTGCATCTGCACTTCTCTCTTCACATTGTACTGCTCTGTTCTTGTTTATCAAATATTTTTCTTCAAATATTTCCAGTATTTTCCTCTGTTTTGTCTCTTCACTCAAAATTAACAGCACCTTAAGTATATGGTGATTGCTCTAGGCTCTGACACGACACCCTTCCTATATGGTCTAGGTTGAAGCACGGATTTCCTTCAATTCTCACATTGGGGTGGACGAGGCATCTTTAATTGTTTGTGGATTGTCAATTTGGTAGATTATCTGCCCTAAAATTTCCTTTGGGGTCAAATTCGCCTTTGGACTCAAAAGGGACTTCTGCTTCCCCTGCCCCAGTTGTCTCCTTTTCCCTCTTCATCCTATCCCCTCCCCTGCCCCAGTGGTTTGGATGATGTGTGCTTAGACAATACTCGCTGATTTCTCTATCTGACTGAATCTGCTGGGTAATACAGGTTTTCACATTCAAAACCTGCACACTCTTTCCTTGTACTCTTTTCTCTTCTCCTAGTGCTTCGTCCGTCTGTGAAAATAACACGGTTATTTGTACAGGCTTATTTAGTGAACAATTCTAAATGCTGAAAACTAAAACGGGGGTGGGGAGGAAGTACCTGCTTATCATGTGACATGAAGTCATCTGTTTCCATAGTCCTGGTGTTATACAACTTTCCTGACAGATGCACTGAATATTTACAGTGGCGATGCAGCCCACAAGCCTGGCAGGAACAGTTCTCAGGATTCTTCAGATGAATACTCACATTAGAATAATTTTCTACCCGCTCCTGAAAATAATTTAAAAATGTAATGAAGCTTTAAAGGATAAGAAAAGCAACAATGAAGTAAAACATAAAAAACGCCCAACCAAATTAAAACCAAGATTAGGAATTACAATAATGGGACAACATGTAGGAGCAAAACACACACACCTTAGCACTGAGTGCATAGTAGGTGTTTGACAAGATATATTTAAATGTAAAAGAAAAATTTATAATTTAGACTATTAAATGAAAAGAAACCAGATTAGGAAAAAATTAATTTCATATCCCTCAAATTTCTGTGTCACTAATTAGCAGTGCTCTTCACAGGTTTTAATTTACTTCTCATCCCTCCTCTCATCTCTAGATGTAATAATTAGTTAAAATAGGAAAGGAGCAGAAAAAAAAATCCAGGATAATATAATAAAGAGATGAATTCATTTAGGTTAGTAAAACATTGAGAAAAACTAAATCACGTTCAGCCTCCATTATATGAATATTTTCCACCAAACATTCCAGAAATAATTTCATTCTCCTATGGTTACTTACTAAAGTACTATGAAAATAAACAAGTTTGAACTAGGATTGCTAGATGGCCAGTACTGATATGGCCAGTCTAATAGCTGAGTTAGCAAAAAGCAAGCAAACAGAAAATATGTAGCATTCATAAATAAGCTTTATTAAGTTGTGAAATTACTTGTGCTGGGGTATTTTTGCTTATGCTCTAGGTCTGGGCTAGATCCACTGTTCTAATCAGTAGCGTGCACGAGTTTACCACGATATTTAAAATGCACACAGTGAGCACATTAGCCGGGTCACAATCCACGCTAGTGGATAATTTAAGTGCTAGGAGGACTGTAAGGAACTTGAACGTCTACTATCTTGCCATGCTTCCTCTTGCTAGTCATTAGAAGATAGAATGTTACAAGTACGGAGGGAAAAAAAAAAAAGCCTGGAAATCATATAGTACAGCTCCTGCTCTTAGATGAAGTAGAAACCCAGGGGATAACATGGAATCAAATAAATCTTATAAATTAAAAAGATGCTTCCCCCAAATTGGTAGAATTACAAAATCTTCAGGTGCAGAAGGATGCCAAGGCCTATATAGGCCAGTGTTTACCCAATTGTGTTACAGAAACCAGTATCCCAGAAGGTGGTAATTGGTATTTCATGGAAAGGAGCCTCAGAGTAAAACACAAATTTGGAAAATATTACATTCTATCTTGCCCCTTTGAAGATTTACAGTATTAATTCACACATTAATGCTCCTTGAAAAGTCCTCCAGCTAAGTTACACCTACTGTTTCTCAACCTTCTTTAACAATGGAACTCCCTTTCCTGAACTAGTTAACATCCTGTGAGACAATCCCCTCATTTTAACAGATGGGCTAAGCCCTGGAGATGCTCTAAAGTTATCATCATTTAGAAATACTTAATGATTGCACTATAGACATAACTCTTACAGGATAGATATAACAAGTGTGAATAGTTAAAACAGTAACAGCCTTTAGAAGAGGTGAGAAACAAGCTGATTATTTAACAAAGAAAAATGCCAATAATTTAGAAGGTTATTCAGTCTGACTGGATATTGAAATCCTGAGCGGTCTCCCCCCCGCCACCAGAGATCCCAAAACAAATAAAACTGTATACCTTATATTGCTCTTTCCAACGACTTCTAGAAGCTAAGCTCTCTAGACGAGGCTGAACAAAGCGATCATCCAAATAGTGAAGAGACGTCAACATATCTTGTGCGTATGACTTTTGCCTGGTGCCATCTGTTCAGGGGCAGGACAACAACAGTAAGAACAATCACTCTGCCCTTATGAAAGATTTAAGTAATTGGAGAGTTAAGGAGTGCTTCCCACAGTTTTAGGAAGATACTTGGTTGGTCAGAAACATTCAAAATTTTAAAAAATTAAAAATTATGAAGTTGAAAAAGAAAATCATTCCATCAGAGCAGTGGGAAAGGGGGGAGTCACGCAGGTCCTCTAACTGTTCCTTGAACACATTAAACTTACTCTTTCCTAAGGGTCTACTTGCCGTGCTGTCTGCTAGATCCACGCATTAATTCCTCCCGTCACCTCGTGCAGGTTTCTATTCAAAAGTCACCTCTAGAGAGACCTCTGACCAATCTAACACTGACTTTCCTTTATTACTCTTGATCTCCTTATCCTGTTTATATTTTTTTCAAGAATTAATCCCTAGCTGAAATCATATTATATGTTTGTTTACTCATTAATTGTCTCTCCCATTAGACTTGAAGCAGCATGAGGTAGGAATCTTCTATGTCACAGTCATTGCCATATTCCTAGCCCTTGAATAATGCCTGGCCCTTAATAGACACTCAACAAATATTTGTCCAATAAATTTTGAATGAAATCTGACTTTGGCACTTAGGTTGATATTCAACACAACATATTTATAGTCTTCATGAAGAGTCAGATTCTGTGCTAGATGTAAAGGATGTATATACAAAAAGTATTCTTCTCACACTCGTGGAAGGGAGGAAGGCAACAGGATATTTTCAACACAGTCGGCAAAGTGCACACATGTCAGTACCACCATGCTCAGGATAATGACAGCACAAGTGAGGGAGTGACAACTACTACTTGAGTGGGCCATCGATGGCTTTCACAGTGGATATGATGTCACATTCACCTGGAAAAATCTAGGGTAGAAAGGGATTACATTCTACAAGCATATTCTAAAGGCACAAAAGCCTAAAAAAGCATATAAATTTTGGTGAAATTCAAGCAGATTAGGCTGGGACAACCCCCTGGTGTTGAATGATCCTGCTGTTTTATTAGTATATGTCCTATATCCTCAAGTTCACTGTGGACTCTTGAAAGGCAAGGAATTTAATTTTTTTGTACTTTCACATAACACAAATGACAAGTACTAACACATTTTTTATATGAATGGACTTTTGGTGTAGTCAATCCCAGAGGGAAAAACTGGCCTTAAGAATGGTCTCCTTGGTTTAAACACACACACACACACACACACACACACACACACACACACACACACACACACACACACACACACACACGTATATACATATAAAACAATGAGGTGGTTTAAAAACTGTAAAAAAATAAGCCCTGATTGCTCCATTCATATTATTTACTTACCATATAATGTTCCCAGAAAAGATTCATCTAAAGCATTGATCAGAAGAGCCTTCACAACTCTTTCGAAGTGAGTATAGTGGTCACTAAAAGAATCTGAAATTAATTGTAAATAAACATGAGAATCTGGTAGACAAAACAACTCCTTGAACACACTAGCTTCCTTTCTCCAGGGCTAAGAAATTAACACTATACATGGGAGAAATCACTTATGTATCCTAATTTCATAGCTGTCTTGGTAACTTGTTTAGTCACTGAGAAAAAATCTCCATTTTCCAGATTTACTGGCTTCTAATTCAAAGTTTCTAGTCATTATTTCAAATAATTTTCACTTTCCAAACTTATTAAGGGGAAACCACTCAGGGAATACTAAGAGATACGTTGTGGGGAAAAAAAAATGAAAATCATCCCCTGTGCACTGAAGTTTAATTATCGACTTGACAATTAGAGTGAGAGAGCAGAGAAAAAACCTCTAGAGGCAGACTGTCCAATATGTGAATGAAACTCCTTTCTTATTCCTTATCTCTAAAATGTGTTACATATGAAATTGTCCAGGAAACTGCTACCCTAGCCAGAATCCCAATGGCTATAAAAACTCAAATTCCTTTTCTGCTGCCACAGATTGAGGATTTTCCACAACAATTTAGCAAAGTTATGCCTTCCCTTTCTCATACCAAATATGAGAGGCTACTTTCCCACTAACCCAGTCTGGTCCACGGAATCATCTGCTGTGGGGCGCTAGGCAATAAGAAAGAAGGTCCCTACTATTTCCCATTGCTTTTGGGTCGAGGTTGGCTATGGTTGTGGAAATGTTCTCTATCAAACATGACCCCTTCTTGATCCAAATGGTCAGCACAGAACATCTGTCCCTGCTCTGGGCACCTGTGAAGACATATTAAGGGTTGCCTGAGTATTTCAGGAAAAGTGGAAGATTCTTAAAAAAAGGATTAAAGCAAAAAAAAAAAAAGACCTATTATTAGCATCCATGAGTGAATTTTGACTTTGCTTTCAACTGACATAAAACAGAGATGGAATTTAACATGAAGTCATCTTTTTATTTATCTTTTAGTTACTAAAAGGGCTGTATAAATCTTATTTTAGACTCTAGGGAAAATTTTAATAGGCATCTATTTTAAATAAAACACCTTATTGAGGTACCAAAGTGGCTAAAATAAAGCAGTAACAAAACTACTTGACAATAGCAGATAATCTGCAGTGGGTCCTTAGAGTTTAGAGGGCCCATGATCAATTGAAAATTGCAAAAACTAATCATAGCCATTTATGAATATAACTGGAAAATGAAATAGTAGTTCAACAGAATTCAACTTTGACTAGACTTCTATCAACTTCCGGATATAAAATCAAATTCATCCCTTCTGCACCTGAGTTTGATATCAAACAAATTGAAATAGAATTTTAAACTTTTATTCCACTTAATTTATCAGTCTGAATGTGCTAATGCCCAATGTTGCCCACCTGCTGTAGAGTTTTGGGAACTGCTGCTTTATTAGGGCAAAGACCCTAGTAGTGTTTCTTTAGGATTCGGAGTCAAAGGCAAGGGCAGAGAATCAGAGTCATCTGGAGAGATTTTTCCCTAACCACAGAATCCTCCTGCTGATGAGTGTCAGAATCTCCTCCTAGAGAGTCAGGAAGAAGGCTGCAGTTTCATTGTGTTTGAGTGCATGGGTGGGTGGTGGTGGAATTATGCTCCTGGCACCTCAAATTATTGAGCAAGTGTAGGCCAGGCATCATTTTATACACTTGCATGCATTTGCTTTATTTCTCACAACAAGTCTATCGGGTACTATTATGACCCTTGGTTTATTTCTGCTTGAGGAAACAGATACAAAGAGGATGAAAAACTTCCCTAAGATCACACAGCTAGTTACGTGCTGGAACCAAGGCTGGGCCCCAGACAGTCTGACTTCAGATTTCATGCTACAATCCCCTACATAGATGCTGTTCTGCATGACTTGATACTATCACACCTCAGAATATGGAATTTTACAATTGGATGGGAAATTGGAGAAAATAAAAATCAAACCCCTCATCTTAAGATTAATAAAAATGACACTCACAATGATGAGATAACTTATCCAAGGTTACACAACTAGATAGAGGCAGAGTCAGGATGAGAGCTCAGACTTCCCCCAGAACTTTTGTCATTCCTTTAATTCCTATATATTGGATGCACTTCTGTCAAATATCTTAGAAACATTGTTTAAAACTTCCCTCCATGATTATAAAAATTGCAAAGGATACAGGAGAAAACCAACAATATTTGGGTTTATGCATAACTTGATTTTTTTCCAGGGTAGCTAATCAGTTTCCCCATGCCAAATCAGTGGAGAGTTAAGTCATTTTCTGAGCATCCTTTATCATGTACGTCACATACATGCCAAGCTTTCGCTTCAGCACCATCTACCCTTCCTGCTGACCTGGCTGTCATTCTCATGTCAGTACTACACTGCTTTACTTCCTGCAATTTTGTAACTTTTTATATCTGGTGGGGCAAGTCCTTCCACTTTATTTTTTGTTTTCAAATTTTATTGATTCTCATCTATTTGTTCTTCCAAGTGAACTTTAGGCTTGTCTTTGCAAAGCTGAATCAAAAAAATTAATTTCAGAAGATACAACTTCTTGTACAATTTATTACCTCCCAGAGACATACTTCTCTCTCCTTTTGTTCATGTTTCCTTTACTATTTCACCGTAAAATTTATTCTTGTACCTAGAGAGTCATGCTTTTTCTTATAAGATTTAGCCCAGTAACTATGTTATTTGCTGGTGTAAATGGAATTTTCCCTCATTATAACTTCTGAACAATTATTCACAGTGTATAAGAAAACTATTGAGCTTTGATATTTACTGTGAATCTGATCATTTTTCTGAGATCTTTTTCTAAGAAAAATAAGCTTCCTGGAACATTATAGAGCTGGAGAGAGCGACACCATTCGGGAATTCCTGGGCACTGACTGCTTTCTCCTCCAACCCTGAGAAGATGCATGCTTGCCAGTGCTAAGTTCATTTCAAGAACCAAGACAGTGTTTCTCTCTTAGGCAGAAGCACATGGATTGTTGGGGTACTTTCTTCTGGAATGGAGGTGTAAGTGCAGCGTAAGGGAGCAGCGGCAAAGCACTTCTACTCCAAGTGCCCCTGACCCCACACGGAGAAAAAAAGAACTTAAGAAAAATATGGAAATAGATGCTGTATTTACTCCTGCTCTCAATATATTCACATCCTCTGTCTTGACTTTTGTATCCTTGCTTAAATAAGTCAGAAACGGATAGCTGTGTATATATTATCATATTATGCTCAATAATAAATATCTTTTCCTTTTCAATAGTTATACTTCTTGTTTTACTTTCATGTCTGTTGCATTATTGAAATCAGCTAGAACAAAGTCAGTAGGAAATATTTTTGTCTTGTCCTTTATTTTAAAGAGAATATCTCCAGTGCTTCACTATGATGTCAGAGCTTGGTTTAAAATATTCTTTGTTATGTAAAGGACATATGCTCATATTACTATTTTTTAAGACATTATAAAAAACCAGATATGGGTATTGAATTTTATCAAATGCCTTTTTAGAATCTATTGAAATTATTATTTTTTCTCTTTTGACATAATATGGCACCTAATACTAAACCATTTTTATAGTTCTAAAAAGAATGGTTAGGGGATTTTTTCTTTTCTCTTGGAATTAAAAAAATATTTCCTTCATATGTCTATTTGAAAATCTTCATCAACTTGGGACGTGAGCCTCTTTAACCTGCATAAACAGGCATGTTTGGAAACTCAAGAATATTTTCTTTTATCGTATCTTTGAATTCGTACGTCTTTACATCCAAAAACATGCTATGCCTCTTATGATAGTCAAATCTTTTACATCTCACTAAGATTATATAATTTTCTTCCTTTAGATTTCATTTTGTTCTGTATTCCCACCCACCTCCCACTCCCCAGGAATTTGTGAACTAGGGCCTTCATTTCTATCCCTTTATGGATTATCTTCTCCTTCAGAAAGGTTTTCTTTTTCTTTATGTTAGAACTTCTTGGGTTTAACCTATATATCATTAATGAAATTTTCTGTATGGTTAATTCTGTTCTCTACCACCTTCAACAAAGACTTTATTTCTGACTTTGTATTTTTCATTTTCTGGCAGTTTATCCTTAGCTAGCTCCCTTTCCCTTCAAATTGTTTTCTCCATATGACTTCCTATTTCTTTTCATAGATTGCAAAGCAAACGCTTTATACAACTTTCTTCTGTTTCCTTTAATGAAACATTTTTTTCATGGGCATCTTCTGCCCGTGAGTCTTCCGGGCAATTTTACCTTTCCCTTTGCTATATGATTTCACTAGTCCTTTTTATTTGTCCTAGAATAAGAATAAGTTCTTATAGAATAAGAAGAGTTCTCAAGAGGAGGGGATTTAATTTTTAACATAAATGGCTGTGGGATTGTTCTTAGTCAGACTCTGAATGTAGACAGAATGACTGTGTTTAATTACTGGATGGAGACCAAGTTCACTCAGTCTAGTTTCCAGTATTCTAGCAAGTGTTTTTCTAGCCAAGCACTAACAGACTGAGATGTACTCTTATAATACACTACTGGGTTCCCTGTCACTCTAAACATATGATAGAGTACAGGAAAAACAATATAATAGTATCTACAGATCTGAAGGCCCTGCCATCTCTCTGTGTATAATATTATCACCATTTGTGAACTACGTATGTCTGAAACACAATGAACCACTGTTAGTCTATCCCTCTGCTTTCTATGGTAGCTTTTCTGGGAGTTGTAGTCTCAGAATAAGTATGAATAAATACTGCTAGGGACTGATGAGAAGGGAAAAAGACTATGACTGCCTTCGAGTGCTTCAACCACGTAGCAGGAGGGAAACTACTCTGTGTTGAGGTGTTATATTGCATCTCTCAGAGCCCAATGGCAGACAGCGAGAAAGGGACAAAATAGCCTCTCTGGTAGAACTGTCCTCTTCAAAAAGGTAAAACTGAATATGCCACTGATTGCCTGACTTTGGAGTTATGAAATGTCTCTCCCAAATTCTGATCACATGTTGAATATGAGTAGTTGTTATAGTTCTTACACAGGTTGGGGGACAATGAATCTGGGAATACTAGCCTAATTACAACCTAAACAAGACCACAGAATGGTGTTTGTTTTTCATCATATAGATCATTGCTTTACTGAGCAATAATATAATCAAAAGTATATTTTGATTTTCAAATGTAAGAATTAACTTACAGTAACTTTTAAAACATAATCCCTTGGCATATCAAAAACTGCCTACATTTACTTTTATTTATTATATTTATAAATGGCATAATCATTGATAAGTACTGAAATATTAACCAAGTCATAAATTATCTCTCTAGAATATTTGGGAGGTTTTTCCTCTGAAGTTTTAATGAATCTGGTCACACCTAACATTTTTGTGTCTTGAACTATAAGACCCAGGAGACTTCAGCCAATATGCTTATCTTAATCATCGATTCATCTGACTAACAAATTCCTATAATGTGTTACCAAGTCTAATATGTATTAGGAATACAAAGAGAAACGAAGCTGATAAACCATTTAGGTTATTTTTTGGAGGTGGGGATGCCCATTTGGCTTTCTTTATTGAGCTTTACTTTTTCATATACCATAAAATTCACTCTTTTTGGTGCACAGTTCTATGACCAAAACACAAAGTTGTGTAACCACCATGACAATCAAAAGAAGAAGTTCTACCACCACCCCAAAACTCCCTTATGCTACCTCTCAATCATTTAGTTTTGCACACATTGAGTCTGAGAGTCTGAAAGACACTCTAATGAAAATATTCAAGAAGACAAAAAATTGGGCCTTAGACTAGGAAGAAATCTGCACTGGAGATACAAGTTTGGGAATTGGGCCAAAGTTATGGGGCAGAGACGTGCCTGAAGCACAAGCAAAATGAAGGTAGTCTGAGAATGGAACCTTTAGAAACATCAATATTTACACAGCAAATGGAAAACGGGGAAAGTAATATTTTAACAGGAAAGGCAAGAAGCTAATGAGAGAACTCTGAAAGTGAGAGTGGTCAATGGTTGGTGGCAAAGCACACAGCATTATCAAGTTAACATAAGAACTGAAGAGCATTTTGGCAACTAAAAAGTTATCACTAACTTCAGTGAGAGCGATTTCACTGGATTGATGGGTACAATAGTCTGAGTCCAACGCTTTGCAGAGTTACTGGGAAACTTGAACAAAAAGATATGGTTTAGAACAGGGCTAACAGAACATGCCAACTCAAGGCAGGAAAGGAGTTGATATGGTTACAAGTTGAGAAAAGAGAGCTTGTAAAGACAGAGCCAGAATCCGAAGTTGCAAGTAAGAACACATAAAGGTAAAATGCACTGCACGAAAGATGAGGTACAGCTCCTCCTGAGGTGAAGATGCCCAGTAGTAGAAGCAAGCACAGATCTCCTTGGTATTGACCAAAATGAGTTGAAAATTTATGTCCATAGAAAATTTGCACACAAATATTTATAGCAGCTTTATTCATAATTGCCAAAACCTGGAAGCAACCAACATGTCCCTCAATAGGTGAATGGATAAACTGTGATACATCCATACAATGGAATATTATTCAGTGATAAAAAGAAATGAGTTGTCATGCACATTTAAGACATGGAGGAAACTTAAATTCATTATTAAGTGAAAGATGCCAATCTGAAAAGGCTACATGCTGTGTGATCCCAACTGTAAAACATTCTGGCAGAGGCAAAACTATGGAGGCATTAAAAATATCCGTGGTTGCTAGGGGTTCGAGGGTGGGAGGGTGGAAGGGATGAACAGGTGGAGAACAGGGCATTTTTAGGACAGTGAAACTGTTCTGGATGATATTGTAATGGTGGATACCTGCTGCATCATTATACATTTCTCAAACCCACAGAATGTACAACACAAAGAGTGACTCCCCCAGGCAAACTATGAACTACAGTTGATGATATATCGATATTAGCTTATCAACTGCACCAGATGTAGCAAACTAATGCAAGATATTAATAACAAGGAAACTGTGTGTGAGGGGTTACATAGGAACCCTCTGTACTTTCCACTCAACTTTTCAGTAAATCTAAAACTGCCCTTAAAAAAACAAATAGAAGCATTAAAGTGTAGGGTAGAGAAGGAAGTTAAAATAGCTCCCACGTGCTGGACTTTTATTTTCATTAATTAGCAGGAGTGGTTATGAGCGGGTATCTGTCAGTAAATGTTCTATCATTCTAGATATTAATATCCAGAATGATGGGATACCTCCTAATTGAGTTTCTCTGAGATTCAAATGTCCCGGTAGCAGGTGAACCAGTGCCTATTGATATAAGGAAAACAGTCATTAACTTTCAATATATAAATGCCTATCACTGGCATCTCTGTAATTGATAAATTTCTTGAAATTTGATTAATACCTAAACCTACAATTTTACCTGAATTATGGTATCAAAATTGAACCATGTTACACTTAATTTCAGTAAATATGCCCCTTAAAATTTGGGGGGGGGAACTGCATTCATGAAGAAAAAAAGTTTTCATCCAACATCCTGTTTCTACCAGAGTTGTAAAATATCATAAAGACTGTCTTTGAATTTATGTATAATTATAGGAATCAGAGCAACAATACATATTTAAAGACATCCTAAATTTTCAGGGTTCTATCACTGACATTTTCATTATCTATATGAAAATATAAAAGATTCTAACTTCTTGATAGGTTTCACTGAGTGACACTTCAAAAGGCCAGATAACACCAGTGGTTCTCAAAGTGTGATCTGTAGACCCCTGGAAGTCTGCAAGTCCATTTAAGGGGATCGGTGAGGTCAGAGCAATGACACTAAGATAATTATGTTTCACCACGTTGACTTTTTCACTGATGGTGCAGAAGTAACTATGGACAAGGCAGCTGACCCCTTGACATAAATCATGGCTTTAGCACCAACTACTAGTAATCATTAAAGTCATCATTGCTCTGCATTCACTTAAAAAACTACTTTTCACTTAAGACTGTCCTTGATGTAGTAAAAACTATTAGTTTTAATACATCTTGAATCTTGAGTATACATCTTTAGTATTCAGTGGGATGAAATGGGAAGTACGGGTAAAGCAGTTGTGCTGTATACCAAAGTATGATCGACTGCACTTTGCGGAAAAAGCCTCATTTGTCATGTTTACCTGAAACACCACATTTACTTGATAGAACTACTGACCAATTATGGTTATTTAGGCATCTGTCAAATATTTTGTCAAAAATGAACAAGGGAAGCTGTCATTTCAAGAACAACTCACATTACTTGATGCCAAAGATAAAAAACAGAGTTCTGAGTAGAAATTAGAATTCTGAACAATTTGTATCCGTTACTGTGGGCCTGACAGCTTCCTAATACCTAAAGAATTTTCTGATGAGATTGGTGGTGATATTAATGAATGTGATTTCTAAAATATTGTATAATGAAATGTGAATTTAGAATTTGGAAGATCTGCATAACCCAGTGAATCAATATTTTCCAAATGACCAATGCATGTTACAAAATTATTTATGGGTAAAAGATCCATTCAAATTGCAAGACAGACCAATGGAATGGGCTGTAAGTACTAGAAGTTCATTTATAATATGCTTTTAGATTCCATACTGCAACTAACATTTAAGAAACTATGACTTGTTGAATTTTTGTGTGGTGTCAAATGAGAACACCCAAAGTCATTTTGAAAATGCTTTCAGAATACTCCTCCCTTCTCCAGCTACCTGTCTGTATGAAACAAAATTGCTTTCATCCACTTTAACCAAATAATTACAACAGACTAAATGCAAAAGCAGATATAAGAACCCAGCTGCCTTCTATGGAGCTAGACATTAAATATATTTATTTAAATGTAAAATTCTCCCCCAAAATAAAATAAAATAAAATGTAAAATAATGCCATTTTTCTCATTGTTTGGGTAAATAGTTATTTTTCATAAAATGTCATGTAACATGTAATGAGTTTATCACATTACTTATTTTAAGTCAATTAATTAATAAATATATTTAAAATTTCTCTTTTGTAAATTTTCTACAGTGGTAAATGCTGATAGATATAACCAACAGAAACAAAAGCTCTTTAGGGTCCTAATAATCTTTAAGAATGTAAAAGGTCCCAAAACCACTGGAATAAACTATTATTAGACAGACAAAATTACTTGAAAATGAAACCATAGTTCCTCATCAGTGATTTAGAACATGACAGTAAAAGGCTAATTTAATACTTGGTATGCTATCAGGATTAGATCAAGTCATAAAACATTCTCTTGATATTTAACTTACAAAGAGAATTCTGTTTTACTAATTTCAGCTGTGATGTAGTCAATTTTTCTCCTCGTTGGCTTTCATTCTCTTCATCACCCTCCTCATCTTGTACTACAAAGTCATCAATAATGTAATCATCTCCATCTTCATCATCTTCATAATCCTCCTCTTCTTCATCATCATTTTCATCGCTGCTTGTGCAGGATTCCTTTTCGGAGTCCTAATTAAATTAAAAAGTAACCTTTAGTAAATTGTACCTTTAAAATTTTTAGCATGGATGTGGAATTAAAAGATTAAATCTGAAACAAAAAATGATTTGTAGAAATAAATGTCATATTTTAACATTAAAAAAATTTTGTCATGTTAAATGTTGAACTTTTGAAATTAGGAAGATTATATACCTTGGCAAGTGATATAAAATGTTTAAAATGGACATTAAGATTATAAGTAGAAGTCAGAAACAGAAAAGACCATGCAAAATGGTCTTTCAATTTTAAAAAAGAGTGAAGGAATGAGGCTCATAATAAAATAATACTGGATACAATACTGCAATCAAACATGTTCAAGGATACTTGAATCAAAAATAAATCCTCAAATTATTGCAAAATAGAACAGACTCAGCACCTGGATTTTTCTAAAAACTAAGTACTTTAAATAAAAATTTAAAATAGTAACAAAACCAATAAAATATAACACACCTCAAAATCTCTACTACTATTGCGTCTCTGACGAGATCTTTGTTTTGAGAGTTCTTTGAGTTTCTGGAGCTGCTCTCGCTTTTTTGTGGCTGAGGTTTTTTCAGGCTTTTTTTGCTCCATCTCCACAGAAGAAGATTCATCTTCAACCACCCTACGCGGACGTTTAATGCCCACTTTTCTAACTAGGATGTCACTGTCGTCACTCTCATCGCTGTCATACATCACAGAGGAGACCCTTTTTCTCTTCCCTCGCTTGATGTGTTCTTCTTCCAAATCCTCCTCTATTATTTGTCCAGTGCGTTTGTTGAGATCACCCTCCTCTTGACTTAAATGCATTTCCTGATCTGGTAAGTCAATGTTCCCATGTTTGATTTTGTTCTTTTCTTCTTCATACGTTGAACTGCTGCTGGTGTTAATGAGATGCTTACTGTTGTTTTCTTCGCTTGCGACTTTAATCGAGTTAAGCTTGCTTTCATCTGCTGGCTTTTTATGACTATCAAGCCCCTTGTTAGCATCAGGGTCTTCATCACTGTCAGCACTCTCATCATCGTCAACACTTTCATCACTCTCGAGCTCATCGCTCTCAAGCTCGTCATCACTGTCACACAATTGTGAGAGATTACTTCTTCTAGTCCGCCTCCAGTCAACTCGAGATTTCTGTTCACACTCTTGAGTTTTAGAATTTTTCCTTGTTTCATGTCTTCTAACGTGTACCATCTTCACTTAAGCTTCTACAAAATAAAGTTATTAGGAACATAATAATGACAACCAGATTACAACAGTGAATGCATTTATGGTTCAAACTATATTTATTTGGTATTATCAGATGGTTCACAAAGGTAAAATCACATGAAATATCTGAGTAAAGATGGTAGAACACTTACTGACAAATAGTTTGTTGATATTTATGAAATAACTATATGAACATCTATTCTGAATTATGCTGTATGTTGCACTGAAAGAGGGTCATACAAAAACTATGGTCCTGTTCCTCAGAAGATTACTATCCACGCGTAGAACTAAAACATAAAAACAGATAGCAATTAAGAAAAATGTAAGGTAGTATTCATTTCCTGACCAAACGAGTGATCAAAATAACTGTGATAAAAGTGTAAAGATGCAGGAAGACCAGAACGACAAGTGTTTCACTAATGATTTTATTGAACAGATATGATCTGACAGACCTCTGAAGAATTGGTTATATTCAAACAGGAAGAGTGAAAGAAAAAGAGATTTCAGGCAGGAAAAAACAGTAAAGTCAAAACGTTGGCACTGAGAAACAACATGGTATGTTTAGTAAATAGATGTGACCAACAAGGTGTGAAGAAAGGCTTTATGCTGGGAAAAAAAAGTGACACGTATAGAAAATTTTGGTGGAATAACCAGAATGATTCCTCCCATCAGCAAAGGAGGATTCTGAACAGAGAAATGACATGAATTACAACATAAAGAATCATTTATATGAAAGAAGTTATAAAGTAGTCATTGACATTAAAAAAAAAGACAACAGTGCAAAACTGAGAGGTAACTTATCCACTAAGATTGCAGCCTCTATATATTTTAGTAAAATGGCAATGGCTTTAAACCATTCAAAGTTAAAGACACAATCTAATCCAACAGAAAACTTACTAACAATCCACTAAGACAGTGAGGTGAAAAAACAAAGTTTCATGACGAAGCAGAGTACAGCACTAGGAAGGAAAACAAATGCTCTAAGTTCCTGATTCAGAAAAGGGTGAACTCCATCAAAATTATCACAGGTACACAGTAAAGTGAACAGAGATAAGATAACTAGAAAAACACTAACACACATGTACTTCTGTGGTGACTAGGAGAACAGAAATATGATCACAATGTCGTGAGACTGACCTCATAATGGGCACCTAAGAACGTGTGTATTCAACTGAGTGCTCTCTCTCTCCTTCAAAGAAATCGTCTTACAAGGGTGATTGTTCCAGGATTTCCACAATGGCACAGAATAATATGAACATTTTTTATAAACCACAGTATCAAAAATATGAAAATAATCACATTTCATTATCCCAAAGAGAGGTTTAAATACCCATTTTATTCCCTTGTCTTAGTTATAAGGGACTGTTAGCTGCTTCCAGAAATGAAATCCAATTTCAAAAGATGAAGATTAACTTTCATTAAAGATATTTTTCAAATGTGCTGCAAACTCTGATCATATTTCCAAAAACAGAATGCCAAAATTTTTTTGACCCATGGCAGTATTACTGAACTAAGTTTACGGCTTCCCAACATGATTACCTTTTTTTTGGTGATGGGGAGATACTACCCATTTGATTGTATGCTTCTGTTATGTTTATACGGCAATGTGAATGCTACTATAATAATAACTCATATAAAATCAGAACAACAACAGTTGTTAAGATTATATACCAGGAACTATAATGTAGGTGACCCTATGACAGTAACTGCTACAAGATATATTCAATATTGTTAACAGGAATCTAACAAATCCTACTCCACAGACCAGATATTCTGCTATTTGTAGTTTTACTTAGGTTCTATCTTACAGAAGGTTGTTTATATTAAAATCAGCTAAGAATAAAACTGTGTAGTCAAAATTACTTTTTAAGGTCTCTATGTTACTCTTCAAAGAATGGTTTTTTTATACACCATACTGCTTCAAAATATGTCCACTCAGTTTCTCTTCCAGGTTTTAAACAGATTACTGTTTTTTTTTCTTTTTATTAAGCACCAGATAAACTAGGATCACTATATTTCGAAGCCATGTAGTACAAAGAAGTCTTTTTAAAGCACACGTAGTTATAAATTTGCATAAGTTAACTGTGCCCATGCTTCATGTAGGTAAGGTTTTTAAATAAATGTCTGAATTGGGGGAAATAATGAAAAAAATGTTTATGAAAACAAATGACAAATATGGCTTCAGTCGATACACTAAAGTATGGACAGCAGGGACATTAAAGTGAAAGATGATTTTATTAGTTTGATACATACTGAATGATTATCTTACAAAACTGCACCATGTGCAAAAGACAGTTATTTATCATATCAATAGGCGATTCCTACCACAATGGTAGAAATGATTAAGAATGTCACACTATGCAAATACCTGTGACTGCAGAGTTAGACTATTAAAAAACTACATATGTATAGTAACTTTCAGTGCATTTTCAAACTTTCAGTGCCTTTTTAAATTTCAAATTTTCAAATGTATTTTAAAATCCTGACAATGATCCTAGAAGGAAGATATTCTCTCTCTTCATTTATAAAAATCAAAGCCAAGGACACAGAGTTTAAATGACTTACCAAAGATCACACAGCTCATTAGTGACAGAGCAGGGATTAGAAACCAGATGTCCTGATTCCCGGTCCACTGCTACACAAAGACCGCTACCTTCATTATATTTGTACAGCGTAGGAAAAATTAACATCTTTAAAAAAGTCGTTAATTTATCTCTCATTCATGCTAAATTTTAGTTTCAGAAAATAATCATTAAAATAGTTTAAGAGTTTACAAATATACTTTTTAAATTTTGTAACTGAATTTTAGTGCACATGAGTTAGGCCAGAAACTTCTGGAAATAATTTATCCACTGGCAAGAAGAGAATGCGTACAGGAGATGAAAATTTGCAGACTTCCCTCTACCACCTTACTGATGACAGTGATTACAAAATTTAAGGATTTCTCCATTGAGTTGAAAAGTAAACATTTCAAAGAAAAGGCAGTCTCTGATGAGAAAAAAATTTATTTTGGAAACTGCAGTACTGAACATTTGAGGAGGCAAGTTTTATTTAAACAAATCAGGTTTCATTTGACCAACTGCTAGATTTCCAGGGTCTCTCTCACATTTCGAAATTGCTGTTTATATCAATAATGTCAAAACTCTGTCATTGAAAATATAAGATAATTTAAAAATGGTTGGCTCCTCTTTTTAAATTGTGGATACTTTTACTACGTGAGCTGGGGAGGGAAGGATAAACAGATGGCAAAGGTGCGTGAACGGAACCAGAGGAGACAAATGAGAAGGTAAAGCTAGTGTGATGGATAAGACAGCTCTCTATCGTTAGAATTCACTCAGAAAAGAATCCATGCAAATGGGTGAAATTTCTATTAAGCTGATCATACACTCAATTTCTTTAAATGAGAGTTTAATTAAGCTTCTTTAATGATACCTTACCTTTAGGTAAAGAGAAAAACACAGATTCCAAACAGAAAGCGTTAAATAGGTGAATGAAGATGATCAATACCACCACATTTTTGTGCTTTATGGTTAAAATCATGTACGACGCACATACATAGCTACCTTGTCTGGGAAAGAATATAAAGGCGACAATCCATTGGGCTTGTGTTCTTTCTCTAACACAGTAACTCTACAACTAAAAAGGGTACTCTGGTGACGCCTGAATTTTTCATCAGAAGAAACAGCCTTTATTCTAGACTTTGAGGTTAATTCATCCTCAAGAAAAGATTCATTCTAGGAATCGTGAGCTTGCCCCACAAACAATGTAGGTGGTACTTTACATTTAAAATTTTGAAGGGCAGTGGAACCCCAGCCATTACTTGAAATTCCACCAGAAGGGATGCATCCTATTTGTAAAACATTATTCCTCTTAATATTTCCTTTTACATGTCAGTTTGGAGAGAAAATCTTAATTAACCAAAGAAATAGTCATTGAATGCATACTACGCCAGCACATGCTCGGAGCTGTGGCGTTACTAGAAGAAATCAGCAACACGGTTTCTGCTCCCAAGGAGCTCACAATCTGATGAAATTACTAGGGACACCAAAACAAGGCAGCATAACACATGATTTAAGGGCTACAGAATATGATTCTTTTTATGTTCTTATCACACTGCTGTGAATCAATTTATCATAGTTCTTCCATTGGCCGGAAAACAGGGCAGCACAACACGACAGAAATAGGGAATAGGAAACTATGAAGAAACAATAATATAAAGAGAGGAAAGCCAACGTCCCCCACTTAGAATCAAGGTTTAGTACTCCACAATTCGCATGGAGTGGCTCCTGACAGCTTGGCATCCTGGACAACTACAGCATTCATTAAAATCTGTAACACTGAAGGTGGTTCGCTAAATTCAGCAGGGATGGATGGCCGAGGAAGGAACAGATCCTCTCGGGAGTTAACCCCAGAGTCATTTTCATGATTACAAACCTGGCTCCTTGGCGGGACGCAGACACTGTCCGCCGGTCCGCTACTCTGTCCCCAGGAGGGAGGGGCACCGTAGCTAGGAAACGGGGCCCTTCAACGGAGCTCCCCGATGACGCGCGCAGGACGACACAAACACCCGGACCTTAGAGCAGCCTCGGCCCCCAGAAAACAAACCAGGATCTGGAAGGGCCAGAAACCCGCGAAATCATCACCCGCGCTCCGCGCGCCAGCCCTGCCCACTTCCCCTTCGCGGCAGGAACTGGCACCTCCCCCCACCGCCCCACTGCAGCTTCGCCCGGGCCGCGCGCGAGTGGAGCGGAGCGCCGAGGGGAGCCGTCCCTCCCACCCCGGGAGCGCCCGCGGGAATTTTTCCTCCCCGGCCGCGGGGAGGCGCGGCCTCCCCCGCGCCTCTAATAAGCCATTAGCAGCCCGAGAGAGAGCGAGTCCCCGCCCCGACCGGGCCCCGCGCCGCCCCCGCGCCCTCACCTTTCAAACCTCCTCCGCCTCCGCCTCCGCCTCCGCCTCTGCCTCCGCCCCAGGTACCGGGTCCAGACTCGCGACGCTCCGCCTTCTTCCGGGGACCAAGGGAAGTCCCGCCTCTGGGGGGGCAGGGGCGGGGCCTGGTCGGCCGCGGGAGGGGGCGTCTTCCGGGAGCGTGCGCTGGGGGAGGAGCGGTCGCCGCGCGTTAGGCAGGGAGCGGTGCGGGGTCCCGGCTCCAAGCGAGGTGGGAGAGGCGCTCGGTGGGCTGTGAGGGTCCGGGAGGACTGTGCAGGCTGAGCGCAACGCGGGGAAGTGCGGCTGGCGGCTGGGGAAGAAGTCACACGCACCCGTCCCCCTGGGGAAGGGGCCAGTCCCCGTCTCCCTGGCTCTTCCGCTCTCTGCCGTAACTTCGGGGTGTGGCAGGGGTTAGTGACGGCCGTTGACCTGGGGTCTGGGCGTCAAGGAGGCTTGTGGTCGCGATGGGGTTATAGTCTTTCTCGCGGCCACCGGGGGAGTGAGACAAATGTTTGTAATCCGGATTATCCGCGGTGACTTGGGGCCTCCTCTACTGCCCATCTGAAGTTAAAGGCCTGTTCTGTCCAACTTCCTCCCCCCGCACCGCCTCTGCCGTCTCTTTGCCAGCCAAGCCCAGCCGGGGACGGGGTCGGGGCCACCAGGTTCCTGGTAAGGTTGAAAGACGGGGTGTTTAAGACTGGGTTACAGTGAGTCTGTGAGAGAGAAGGCAGGATCTTCTGGACTGCTTCAGTGTGGGTGTGGGCTTGACTCCCTGAGTCCCCGAGCCACACCATGTCAGGGAAACGGAAGCGGGTGGTGCTGACTATTAAAGATAAGCTTGATATAATAAAGAAACTTGAAGATGGAGGTTCTTCCAAACAACTGGCAGTGATTTATGGAATTGGGGAGACAACAGTTCGAGATATAAGAAAAAATAAGGAAAAGATTATAACTTACGCAAGCAGTTCTGATTCCACAAGTCTTCTGGCCAAGAGGAAATCTATGAAGCCATCCATGTATGAGGAATTGGACAGAGCAATGCTGGAATGGTTCAACCAGCAAAGAGCAAAAGGGAATCCTGTGTCTGGACCGATTTGTGCTAAAAGGGCAGAGTTCTTCTTTTATGCTTTGGGAATGGATGGTGATTTTAACCCCTCTGCCGGTTGGTTGACTCGTTTTAAGCAGCGGCACAGCATTAGAGAGATTAACATTAGAAATGAAAGGGTTCATGGGGATGAGACTGCCGTGGAGGATTTTTGTAACAACTTTCGAGACTTTATTGAACGAGAGAATTTGCAGCCTGAACAAATCTACAATGCCGATGAAACTGGACTGTTTTGGAAATGCCTACCTTCCAGGACTTCAGTAATCAAAGGTAAATGCACAGTCTCTGGGCACAAGTCAATTGAAGAAAGAGTCACTGTGATGTGTTGTGCCAATGCAACAGGTTTACACAAACTTAAACTTTGTGTTGTGGGAAAAGCAAGGAAACCTCGCTCCTTCAAGTCAACTGATACCTCAAACCTGCCAGTCTCTTATTTCAGCCAAAAAGGTGCATGGATGGATCTTTCCATTTTCCGACAGTGGTTTGATAAGATCTTTGTGCCACAAGTTCGAGAGCACTTAAGATCCAAAGGCTTGCAGGAAAAGGCTGTGCTCCTGTTGGATAATTCACCAACACATCCAAATGAGAACGTCCTGAGGTCAGATGATGGCCAAATATTTGCTAAATATTTACCACCTAACGTGGCTTCTTTGATTCAGCCCTCGGATCAGGGAGTCATAGCCACAATGAAGAGAAACTACCGGGCAGGTCTTCTCCAGAACAATTTGGAAGAAGGTAACGACCTGAAATCATTCTGGAAGAAGCTAACTCTGCTGGATGCACTTTATGAAATAGCAATGGCGTGGAATTTAGTAAAGCCAGTTACCATTAGCAGAGCGTGGAAGAAGATTCTCCCTACCATTGAGGAGAAAGAAGGCCTGGACTTTGATGAAGAAGATATCTCAGTGGCTGCTGTGGCTACCATTTTACAACACACCAAAGGATTGGAAAATGTGACTACTGAGAACATTGAAAAGTGGCTTGAAGTTGACAGTACTGAACCAGGCTATGAAGTATTAAGTGACAGTGAAATCATTCGAAGAGCACAAGGCCAGACAGACGAATCCAGTGAAAATGAGGAGGAGGAAATAGAACTGATCCCGGAGAGACATGTTAATCATGCAGCTGCTCTCCAATGGACTGAAAATTTATTGGATTATCTAGAACAACAAGGGGATATGATTCTGCCTGATAGACTGGTGATACGTAAACTTCGAGCCACCATAAGAAATAAACAGAAGATGACAAACTCAAGTCAATGATGGCATGTCAACATTACCATTGTTTTGGTAATTGTGTTTGTAACTTTTAACCTCTTTGCAACATGGCTTCCTTCTCTCTGTGTTCTGAATTCTCAGACACAGTCCTGTGAAATACAGATACAAAAATGTATCTGAATTGGTTTGAGGATTATGTGTTTTGCAGCTCTGTCTCTTGTCCGTTTATTTGTGTGGATAATTGGAAGCTGATTTTGTACAGGTATAAATTACACATACATATGCATTCACTTTTATAGATCTGCAATTACCCCTTCCATTGCAGTGGCATTCCCTAAATTTTCTAGCAAAAGTTACAGGTAGGTGAACAGTTTGGGCACTTCCCTGAAATCTTTTGTTTGCTCTGTGAGGGCTGCCACAGTAATCTTTTCTTGTTCTTGTGCTAACCAAATTATCTGTTTTGCATCTTTATATACACTGATGGAATGAGAAGTTACCTACATTGTTAGATTTCAGGGTAATCTGTAATGATTCAAAATGAAGTTCTGAATGAAGAGGAAAGAATGATGAATGAATTATGAAAATAACTTAGAAATCATACTTTTCTTACATTTGTTTGGGTGGCAAGAGGAGGGGATTTTTCTAGAAATGAACTATAATATAGGGAGTGATTGCTGAATTAGTGAGAAAAATATTGGAAAACTGATGTATAAGATCATGATCTATTCATTCGTAGAAAACTGGGAGTTGAAAATCCGGGGAACTTTAGGCTATTTATACAAAGGGAATAAGTAGGCTTGTTTTAATTGGGTCTTTTTATTATGTTATTAATTGGGTAACAGTATAGGCTTATTATTTATTCATCTAATTATAGTACAGATCTTGTAACTTTACATGTGGTGATGTCAGCTCTCATCCTGTATGTGGGGGAACATCTTGGGTATTTGTAAGTTTTTTTAGTATGTACTTGAAAATATCTATAATTTGAAAAAGTTTGTCATGCTTTTATTTGATGTGAAAAGAAGAAGAAATTAAAATAATAAAGTTTTTATTTTTAATAAAGCATAAATTATGACCTGTTTTATGAAGAAAGCAGAAATAATTATGGAGAGTACCAGAGTCAAAGGAATCTCATCATTTATTATTTTGACACTTGTGAAAAGGTTTTCTTCTAGAATTGGTTTGTCAGAATTTTGATAAACTTAGTAAATTGAGTACGTTTACTCAAGACATTGAAAAGATTTACCTACATGAATGTTAATTTCATTCATAATTTAAAAGCAAAGTGTCTGTATGTTATTTCACGTTTTGGCCCTAAATTAAAAAAAAATTCTCTTTATCATTTTTTTTAAAGGTTTAACTTTTTCATTGAAATACTTTGCATTTTACAGTGACTTTGTTAGAATTCTAAAACTTTAGAAAGATTCGTAGCTTTCCATAATTTCTGTTATCTTAATGATATGTGTCTAGATTTTTAAAAAAGATTTATTTGTGACAAGAACTGTTTAAAAATTGTTGCATGAATTGCCTCAGTGATAGGGAAAAAAAAGCATCAGAAGTTAACATCCATATTGAATCATATTATTTTGTATTCATAAATTAAATTATATGTAAAATGATTTATCTAAAATGAAAATATGTACTAAACAGCTTCTTGGAATTTCTATCTGAATTTGCTCACTGTTTTTAAAATTAACCTTGTTAATGAAATTCAGCTGTATCATTGCCACCTAGTGGTAAAATTAACATTACTGTTAAGTTGTGTGGTTTTAAACTTTAATATCTAGTAAAAGGTTCACTGTTTTGTGGCCTTGAGTGTGAATATTGTGACTTTCTCTATCCTATGGGAGACTGCTCTTCTTTGGTTTATAGCTGACTGCTGTTTTCCAAAAGCTGCCAACAATAGTAGGCTGAAAGTTCTATTTTGGATCCTTCTATCCGTAAACATAATTGTAAAAGCTGCTGGTTAATTGAATACCATGTTGTGTTCTAAGCAGTGTATTTAAATCATATGACCCTCGAATTATGAATTAGATGGAAATAATGATGCTCTGCTCATACTCTTAATTGCTGAAGATCACTTGGCTACAGGTAAGGATTTAAACCCAAGTATTTGACACCAGAAGGCTACACTTACTTTATGCAACCTAAACTAACATCTTAACCTTTTTGATCTTCAAATTTATTCCTTCCTTCCTCCACCACCTGCCACAGGTGTCTCACTTTACTTACCTACCTTCCAGTGCATCGGGGGCAGCAATTGCCCTTTCCTTTTACCCTTTTAGAGGTTGGTCTTCCTCTGACTACTCTGCGGTGTCTCCAGTCCCCTGTTCATCCACAGCCTAATAGCATTTGAAATTGGGATTGTCTGTTTCCTGCTTTCTGGTTAGCCATGCTCAGTAAGGATCCTGTCTCACTTCAACAATTTAAAACCCACCATTGGGAAAAACAGTTCATGTAAACATTTCTCTCTAGTTTACAAGGTAATCTCAAGGAGAAAGAGTCAGCACAGTGTAGCAATAACACAAAAGTCTTACTAGCCCGTTACTGGAAACCGCCACCCCCAAAGGCACGTGAGCATGTATACACTCAGATCCACACAGATCAAAGGGAGAAAAAGTTAAGCCCCCAAATGAGAGGTGAGGAAGAGAATGAGGGTTAGGTTCAGATAGAAGAGGGGGTGGTTAGATGAGTAGAAGGAAAAAGGGAAATGTGGTCTGTAGTGAGGTTTGTTTTGTGACGTGCATCTCAGCACCGCAGTCCTAGGCTTACC